GCCCCCGCCCCCCCCCCCCCCCCCCTATACTTTTTGACCAGTCCCTTAGGAATCAAAATTACATCATAGGGCAATTACTTTACTTTGATAATAATTTGTCACGAACATCAAAACAAGCTGAAATATATTTTATGAATTGTATATTGATAAAGAAATTAGAGGAGTTCATCAGTTCATTGATCAAACCGTTTATAGGTAACTGGGTAATATCTGGAATCAGGGTCTTGACTTTATAGTAAAATTTATTCCTAATCATAGAGTATGTAGGACATTGAAAAAGAAAATAAGCTTCGTCTTCTATTAGATTGGATCCACAAAAAGGGCAATGCCTAATATATAGATGTCTCCCTTTATTTTTTGTCTCTCGCTCTAGCTCCTTTTCTCGTTGAGCTTTGCTGGTCTGTCGCCCTACTTTCTCTTTTTCTCTGTCTTTCTTTTCTCTATATCTCAAACTTGTGAACATGACATCTAAGCTTAATACTTAAAACAACACGGATACAGAAACATTTTCCGCTTTCCGTTTTCGTCTTTACTGACTCTTTAGTTGTCTCTGCTTCACAAAACGCAGGTGGTCATACGCTTTCCCGCCAAAATAACCTGACATTTGGCATCGGCTTACATGTAGTGGGTGTACGGACGGTCGTTTGTACTCTACGTCATAACCAAATTTTCTCGGATGGATAGTTTACCAAATTTTCTTACCCATGGTGCTCCGCTGGCGCGCTTCGCGCGCTAGAGCTCGGCTATTATCCTTCGTAGTTTGATTAGACAAAGTTGTTATAAAGAGGGAAGGATGGTGAAATGCCGATCACGTGACCTTTACACTTAATTAATCAACATTCATTCGAGAAAGATAAAGAAAACTGTATAATTTCAACTACATGAGACCAGAGAGACCATATTAATTTATGCAAATATATCGGCGTTTCTGGCGTCCACACTTTTGTATCGTCTTCCAAATCTTAAACAAGTTACTCTTCAGGAAGGTCGCCTCAAAAGCGATGGTTCAGGAGTTTTACAAAACGAAAATGAAAGTGTTGTGTCAGAAGCCCATGAGTCTCCTGGTGTGTTTGAATAATCTGACGGAATCGTTCGGCACTGAGCAGTGAGAAATAATATGAATTGTCTAGACATCTAAGGCTGTAACAGCTCTAGAAGGTGTTTTTAAAAATCTAATTTTTTGGAAGCTTGAAGGAAACTTCGTTTTAAAGCACGTATTGTTATATTACTGCATCAGAAACAGAGAAAAAGGTTTAGTACATTTTGTCGACACTGAAAAGAGACGTGAGTTCGAGAGGTGGGGAAATTAAAGAAAGAGAGTTAGCTTTCCTTTCCTTAGCCGTTCGCTCGCGCTTCTCTCACAGTAAACAGTACATCTCGCCATAAATGAAGAGCTTGCTGGCGGGCTATGGTTCCTTGTAATACCATCGACAAAAGTTTGAAATACATCTCCGTGAGTCGTTTTCGCAGCCAATTAAAATCTTAACACTTCGCGAAAAAAAGTATTTTATCATTTAAAAAAACACCTTTTATTAGTTACTGACTTGCAGGTATGATATCTGTCAGGCTAAATAAACGGCTGATTAGCATTGTTTTTATTCGCATAACTAGTGCAGCTGCAACCTCAAAAAGTTGCCAGTTGAATTAACGGCAGTAGCGATATCAACTGAAGTGAAACAAATTTAACATCAAAGTTTTGAAGATATTGTACTGAAAATATCTCAAATCGCGTAAGAATATTTAGGCTGTGTAAGCGAGGATAGTCGGACTAACATATATGGAGGAGGCTCCTTTGAAGAAGTTATTACTACGTCTTATTGGTTTTTCTATTTATGTGGTCATCGGTGGAGCTGTTTTTATGCAAATCGAAAAAGAGGAAGATCAAAACGCTGCTGAACAAACGTTGGACGATTTACTGCTCAAGTGGATGAAGACATATAACATTTCCAGGGAAAATGTCACAAACATGTTACAAGATTTCCAGAGTTTGAAAGAGAATGGATACAAACCATCATGGAGCTTTACTAACTCAGTCTACTTTGTTCTGCAGCTACTCACGACAATAGGTAAGGGTTGAATACTTCGTACATACATACATATATATACTTTATTTATGCTCGAAATTTACAGAGTAGCTGTAGAGCTAATATATTCGAGAAACTAAGTTAAAATAAAATAAAATATGCGATATTACAATTCCAATATTATTTATAAACTATATACAACATTATGCATGCAGAGGGAAGTATATAACTTGTAAATCTACCGTGAAAAAGCTTCATATCTGGGGATCTCCTGCTTGAATTCTAGAAAAGTTTATTAATGTTTTGTAAGTGTCTGAGAGAGAGTTCCATATTTTGCTAGCTAAGTATGAAAAAGAGTGCAGACCGTAAGTCGTTGTTTTTGGGTTGGGAAGGGCCAGGATATGATTTCCGCGCAAATTGTAGGATGAAGACCGTACGGTGAACATATCTTTCAAATAACCTGGATAATTCGTAAAGAACAGACTCTTATATAATGTGATCATGAAGTTCTGGAGGCTTTTAATGAAAAGAGATTTCATGTTAACTTTGCTTAGTAGAATGTCATATGGACAGCTGTAGTCCTGTACTTATTTATTTATACTTATTTTAGTCCACCGCACTTATTTATTTTTTTTCTTGTGTCAAATTACACAATTCATAAAAGGGAAAGATGTTTTTAAAAAATGATCGGGATAAACCAATATATCGTGGCTTCAATAGCAGCATAATTATCTAAACTGCGGTGAACACCAAATATTGCAGTGTTTTTTCCGGGGGGGAGGCACTCTTTTATTTGGCCTAAGCGGGTGAGCCTCTAATTAGATAAACAAGGAATGATTTTGATCGGATCTTAGGTCTTAAAGAGGGCATACAATTTCACCATTTCACTTCTTGAACTGGGTGGTTTTTGTTTTGAACTGGAAGGTTGGCGATGAGGGGTCTACATTTGCGGCACCAACATTTTTTAAAAATATTTTATTCCGTGATTTTAGTCGGAAAAATTATCTCATTCTGTATGTACAAACGAAACGAATCAGGTAATAAAGTAAGCTCTCTTTTCTTGAAGTGACTAAACACAGTTTCTGTGACACAAACTTTTGTTTTCGCGCGCCAAAGACTGACGTGATCTGGAAAAATAAAAACTTGGTTGTTTTCGCCCCTTGAAATGCTTTATCCCTCTGCTGTTAACATCTTTACTATGAGAAGACATGCAGCCAATGGGATTTTCTAGTAAAAATGTGAGGACCAGCAGAGAGAAATGGCCAGAAGTTGTCTGTAGAAATTTATTCTGTTTTCGTCGATTTTTTCACGTCGCGTGACCCCAGCGCGCGCACAAGTTTTGGGCATGCGTACTTAGGGAAAAACGTAGAGCATAAGCAACTAAGACGACGACGACAACGACAACATCGATAAAAAAACAATAGGTTTTATGAACAAAACAACAGCTCTGCACGTGCATCTCGCTTTTTAGTACATTTTTTTGACGTCCACCGCACGACTACGACGTGAAACCTCCCAATGCGACGTTTAATGGAGGACGTGGACATACGACGACAAATTTTCCTTTCTCTATTTGAACATGGAAAAGTCCTTAAGAATTCAACTCCAGGAAAGTCGCCTGCATTTGACGAATTGAGCGGTTCCAAATAGACGCTATAAAGTTTGAAAGGATGCAAATACATTTTTTTTAGTGATAGTGCACTGCCGTTGTCGTCGTTGTTGCTTAAGTTCGCTGAAAGAAACGACGATATGTCAAAATCTACTCATTAGAATTTGACAACATTTGGCAAAATTCTTGTCAGGGGGACACCTATCTCTAAATAAATTCATAAGGCAAAATTTTGCTTGTGTTACTTCTTTTAAAACGCTTATATCTCGGCTGTTTTAGAGGCGATTTAGATAAAAATTTTACAGAGACATTGTGAAATGATGGACGTTTCGAAGGCTTGTTTTTTATCTGGTAGATCGCGCTTTACAGCGATGCTTTAAGCCACAGTTCTACCAAACTGGGAAATTGTGATTTTGTGTCCAAGTTTGCGGAAAGCCGGAATAGACGATAGCACTCTGTGATTTTATTAATAAATGATCGGTCAAAACTTCCCTAGTGTGTTTTGTATTGAGCAGATTTTGTAATTTATAAGTTTGCCAGCAAGATATAATCGTTTAAATGAGCAAAATCTGTCCTCCCCGAAATTAATGCCCTATATATTTTTTATAAGCGCTGTTTTAGAATTCCGCTCTATACAAAACACACTACAGTCTACGAAGTTTACCCCTCCGCAGTGCCAGCTCGTGAAGTTTTGTTTATCTGCGCTGAATTCGTGGACACAAAATTGTCAGAAAAGTCAAATTTTGAGACTCTCGAAAGTGTCCCGACTAAAGCACGGGTTCCAAGCAAGACATGTAATTATAAGTACAGGTAATAGCATGATTTTTAGTGATATTTGGCATAAAGACCACGAGTGATATTTCAAAATTGTTGAAAGGCTCGTGCAATTTGAGACCATTTTGAAATATCACAAATATTCAGCTGAATATTACCTTGAACAGCGACCAAAAAGTCATATTTGCAAAAAATATAACCCTTAATATTGATTCGGAAGCAGTTAATTTACCCTCTGTATATTTTGTATCGTGCAGCCACGTCGAACGAAATCTGTTGTGCGCCACTTTGTTGCTGTAGTAAGTTGCATCATGACCCCAAGGAATTTATTATTTGTCCTTTTCATTAGGTACTACTGCCTAAATTTACCCAAAAAATGTCAATAATGTTAAGGCAAACTGTTTTTTTGAGTTAAGACGTAAGGTTTAACATGTTACTGCAAACTAAGAACGAGAAGTCCAAAGACTACTGCAAAGCTGATTTAAAACAACGTTTATTGTTTTTTATAACAATATTCATATTTCGGCTGGCAATATCAGCCTTCTTCAGGTTTACAGATGTATTGAAAACTGTTGTCCGTACGGTTTTTGTTGACAGGTTATGGCAACATAACCCCTGCAACAGCTGTTGGCCAAGTTTTTACCATTATCTACGCATTTCCTGGAATCCCAATCACTCTCCTTGCATTGCGTGCAGTTGGAAAATTGGTCAACATCGGTTTAAAAAAGGCAAACAGACCCCTACACAGAAAACGTCACGGTGCGGCCTGCCCAGAAACCCAATGTCCTTTCCTGGAAAAAGCAAATATGTGCATCAATTTATGTTGCTTCGTTTTAACTTGGTTGGTGGTAACAACAGTTCAAGCGCGTTTGGAACCAGAGGAGTCTGTTGTGTTTATTGTTTATTCCATGTTCGTGACGTACTCCACTGTTGGATTTGGCGATTTTATCCCGTTTGAAAAACACAAATCCATTTTTATCGTATTTGTTCTGCCTGGCCTGTCCTTTTTATCGGGTTTGATTGATTCTGTTGTCGCTTACTTGGAAAAAAGCAACGTGTTAGGAAAGCGTTGTTATAAATGTGTCAGTTGCCTGGGAGTAAAAATGAAAGCAAAAAGGGCAAGAATAAATTCCGCAGAAGCGGTTAAGGCCCAAAAAAGTCAAGATACAGTAGAAACGGATATTAATGCAGAGCACGCCGTGTGAAATATTCAAAAGAAAACAAAACAAACAGAGGTTGTATAAGCAAAGGGACATGGACACAGAAACAAAGTAGTAGGTGGCATTTCAGCTCCAACGAAAGGATCGGAGAGAACTGTGAAACAAAAACAGCTGATTCAGCTGTAAAAGATCACAAGAGTAATGCCAGAGCCCGGATGGGCAAAACAAGAGAGGACCTTGGGACCAATTATCTCCTCTCTTCAGGCAAAACTGAAGGAAGAAGACTGAAACCGGTTTTTCTCAGGCCAATTTTTTTTTTCAAGTTTGACACAATTTGTTTGAAAGTGTGACTTACAGTGCCAGGGAATTATCTAAATTTACAACATGGCAATGAATTTCTTTTTATTCAAAGGCATTCTTTTTCACGAATTTTAAGGGCTGGCTGTGATTGATTCGTGATCTCTATTTCTTATCAAAAAAAAAACTCTCTGTCACGTTCATTTAATGTCAAGAGCTATACAAATGTTAAAAAAGGATTTTTTTTAACTATCCTGGAAACGTTACTTGCAAAAATATTAATAAAGGAAAGCAACTAACACTAAACAAAGTACAGATAATTAAAACTGGTTTTTAGAAAAAAAAAGCAAAAGAAAAGAAAAAACAAAAGGACGATTTTCCTATATTTCAAGCAAATAATTTGTCCTTGTGCGAGTTACGCGATCAGTGACGTTACATTGTTGACTTGAAAATATTACAATCTCTTTTGTTATATTGAACATTGCCAAGTTACCATTTTTAGCGATTTTTAACAAAGAATTAAGAAGTAAATAGTGATTTAGGCTCCAGCCTCGTTTTCATGCTGTACGGTAAGGTGCGTGACATGAAAAAGCCGTTTACTCGAAACCTATATCACAGATCGACCTTACAAATTATACGGCAATCATCAGGAGGTCTTGTTCTACCAAAATCCGGTATCAATGCAACCCTTTTCTGACTGGTGGGTTGAACGAAACGACAATTTTTCGACCTCGGCTACTGGACTATTTGCCCGATCCTCAGGGAAAAAAAAGGCAAGGCCTTCGGAAGGAAACAAAAAACTCGGAATCACTTCTTTTGCACCTGCAGGTTTTGCTATTGTATTCTTATATTTTTCCAGAAAACAAAAACATACAAACTTACAAGGGCATTATTGTTATTATTACTTATTTTCTTTTTATCGGGAAGTAGCTGGTGGTGGTTCTGGTAATTTGCAGTTGTTTTCAGTATAAAACCTGTTTAGCTATATAGTGTGTCTGATTTTTACGACCAGTTTGATTTTCTGCCCTGAGGCTGTCATTGTTTTGCCATTTTGAAGTAATTTCTTTATCACCGTTAGTTTTCTTGGCGAGTAAACCGACACGGCTCCTTTAATCTTTCATACGAGCATCAATCAGGACGCCGGCAGCCGGATGGACGTGTAACTGAATTATTCACTAGATTGCAAAGGAGGACTTGGGCCCCGTTTCTCGAAACGCCCAGAAGCCCCAAAACTTTTCTGGCCCGAAGGCAAATTTTAAAATCAAAACTTCTTGAATAGGGGCACAGTCACAGTCACAAACCAGTCGTTTCGTTAACTGATAGTTTCATTGTATCATTGAAAGTTTGACCTTGAATGTAAACACGGCACACACAAAACAGCTTTCAGGGCCCGAAAAGTTACCAATATTTATCCAATGTAGACCCATTGGATAAAGAAGAAGTGGCAAAGGACGAGCACCTTTTCAGGTCCAATCTAACACATGGAAACCCCATATTTGCTGTTTCGCCGATCGGATTCTTGGGAAAGCGGTTTCAAAAAGATGTGTGGGTTTCAGTGGACAGTTCAGTGATTTCTGTTGGAGAGTTATGAGTTATTTTAATATAATGGGGTGGGTTTTCAAGGATTAGAATGTAGAGAAAAGGGCGATGAAAACTGCTATGAACATATTTTATGGGGTATCTCAGACTAATGCAAAGAGACGTTCCATATCGCTTATTAAATAAATAAATTTATTTGTTTGTATTTATTCATTTATTGACGAGATTTTCATCAACTAAACAAAAGAAACAAATCCAATTCAAGTCATGAGCAACTGTTCTATTTACAATTTTAAAAGGCTGAGCAAAACGAGAAAAAGTCGCTCGGTTTTCAGCCAGAATGTATTTGTAGGTAAATGAAATTGAAAGAGTACCTTTTTGGACAAACGTACACATATCCACACTCCCTCCTAACCATGTATAAAAGAAACTTGAGTAAAATCTATCTCTGCATATAGAGCTGATGTATGCGAAGAATGGCGTCTATAGAAGGAGATAGGATCGCATCGCTATGACTCTGTTCCGAGTCAACGACGGGGAAAAAAGTATGTCAGTACTGAGTGCCCAAACACTGGTAAATGGGAAAAAAGATAAAAAGATTATGGCCGTCTTGTCTGTAAATTGTGGGAGTTTACGCAATCACGAAGACGACGGAAAACGTAAACGTAAAAAAGCTCTAAAATAAAGTGATTTTGTGTTCTTTTAAATTTTATGGCGTTTATCTAGCCGCTATCAATCTGTCAAATGTTGGTGAACTTTCCTTTCCTTTTCGTAAACGCTGTATTTTATCTTCATAAAGGAAAGGAAAATTAAGCGTCGCGTGTTCACGTCCTCCATAAAACGTCGCATTAGGAACTTTCACGTCGTATTCGTGCGGTGGACGTCAAAGAAATGTACTAAAAAGCGTGATGCACATATGCAGAGCTGTTGTTTTCCTCATAAATCAATTGTTTTTTGACGTTTACGTTCTTGCTGTCGTCTTAAGCTCCGTAATATATCGCTTACTGTCAATGTGTCGTCTTACTTATATCTAAAGGAAGGTAAACATCAATTATGAATAGAAACTTCATTTCATTTATAATAAAATTAAAAAATGTTTTAATTCGTTATATGTTCTATTTGTTTTCGTTTTGAAAAGTACAGATTACAGTGAAGAGCAGAGGTTTTGGGATCCCAGATCTGAAATGACGAGTTCGCGTGATCGCGTGTACTATTTGACAAAATACAATACAGGNAAAGGAAAGGAAAATTAAGCGTCGCGTGTTCACGTCCTCCATAAAACGTCGCATTAGGAACTTTCACGTCGTATTCGTGCGGTGGACGTCAAAGAAATGTACTAAAAAGCGTGATGCACATATGCAGAGCTGTTGTTTTCCTCATAAATCAATTGTTTTTTGACGTTTACGTTCTTGCTGTCGTCTTAAGCTCCGTAATATATCGCTTACTGTCAATGTGTCGTCTTACTTATATCTAAAGGAAGGTAAACATCAATTATGAATAGAAACTTCATTTCATTTATAATAAAATTAAAAAATGTTTTAATTCGTTATATGTTCTATTTGTTTTCGTTTTGAAAAGTACAGATTACAGTGAAGAGCAGAGGTTTTGGGATCCCAGATCTGAAATGACGAGTTCGCGTGATCGCGTGTACTATTTGACAAAATACAATACAGGCACAGAACAGTCGAAGTAAACAAAGTGTGCCGTTCTTAACAAGAGAAGTGGTTTCACTACTCCTTCGTTCTTCTTTTTACAATCTTTTTGTTAGTTTAACGAATCCAACTTAATGGTACATTTTAAGAGATATCTTGCTAGCTTCCAGCATGACGCAGATTACCTTGTAATCTCTTTAACCCTTCAAGTCCCAATATCCACATACAAATTCTCCAAACTGATCTCGATATATTTCCTTAAAAAAATAGTTAAGAGAATTTGATAAAAGATCAAAGCATTTTCTCTTCGGTGACCATTTTATTGATTCTTATAACCTAATGTCTTGACAATCTATGGATATTGTTAGGAGAAAATTAATGTTGGTCACTATTGGGACTCAAAGGGTTAATGAGTTTTGAAAAATATCGACCAAACAATCTGACAAAAGTGATGCCGTGACACCACAACTATCAGAAGGTCACCTCGTGCCAACGGATAAAAAGAGCGATCTATCAAGTACTCAAAACATTTCATATCAGGGAGTGCCACTAGAAGAAGCGCAAACAAAATGGATCGTGTCGTGCCACTAGCCATCTCGCTCTTCGCGTTCTTTTTTCTGCACTTTTCAAAGGCGGAAAAAGAACCACAGACAGTCATTCTCGTGTCCATGGACGGAATGCCATGGAATCTGATTAGCGGGGAGTTTGCAAAAACACCAAACCTCGACAGAGTCGCGGAAAATGGGGTGACAGCGAAGTACATCAAGACAGTAGTCCCGAGCAAAACATGGCCGACGCACGTATCATTCGTTACTGGTTTGTATCCTGAGTCACATGGGTTGGTTTCCAACAAGTTTTGGGATCCAGTTTACGATGAAACGTTTATCCTGGAGTATGACTGCACGACTTTTGACCCAAAATTTTACAACGAATCCGAACCTATATGGTTGACACTGGAGCGTTCAAAGAAAAACAAAGGCCGCAGTGGAGTGTACTTTTGGCCGGGCTTTGGCGGCTGGAAACCAATTCCCAGCTTCTACAGACACCCGATTTGTAAGCTGAACTGTAGCGCTGTTGATCCTAAAGACCTCCCTAGCCTACGCAACAGGACGCGAAGCTCGTTTCCACCCTACGAGCACTGCTATCCCGACTTTTTTAACGAAACTGAGACATTTCCTCGTCGAGTCGACCGTGTCATTAGCTGGCTAAAATCTGATGATCCTCCTCGCTTTGTCGCGTTGTATATTGATGCACCGGATTGGAAAGGTCATTCGGGCGGCGCTTTGTCCAAAGTCTACAAAGACTCCATTGAAGAAGTGGACAGGGATGCTGTGGGTTATCTCATGGACCAGCTTAAGAATGTGTCGTTAATTGACAAAGTGAACGTGATCTTCGTAAGCGATCATGGCATGGTGAACGCATCTTCAGAACGAGTGATCGTTTTGGAAAACTACATCGACCCGTCAACATACCGACTGGTAGAGGGTGGAACTATTGGGCACATCTGGCCAAATGAGGGCATGTTAGACGAAATCTACAACAACCTGACGAAACCCA